AGGGAGCGAGAGATCGACAGTCGGATTGGTGCTGCGGATGCTGTTGTTGTGGTGACGAGAGAGCTGAGTGTAAAAGCAAAGCTCTCAATTTACCTGTGGATCTAATTCGTCCCTCACCTGTTGTCACGAGCTTTGGGTAGTAACCAAAAGAACGAGATTGTTCCGGGCATGTCCCACCGGGAGGAGGCCCCGGGGCAGACCCAGGACACGCTGGAGGGATTATATATCTCAGCTGGCCTGGGAACTTCTTGGTGATCCCCTGGAGAAGCTGGGGATGTGGCTGGGGGTCTGGGCTTCTCTGCCTAGGCTGCTGCCCCTGCAACCTGGCCCCAGATAAGCAGAAAAGATGGAAGGATGTACTGACAGGACTTTGTGCTGTTGAAATTTGAGATCTCGAAGTTAAAAGACACAGCTGGCCAAAAGGCATTAAGTGGAAGAGAAGTTAAACTTTAGCATGATTGGATTGCTGATGTTTGAAGAGGCAAACAGGAGGCTGATAATATCGTGCATATTAATTTATTTAAGAAGTGACAATATTCTTTAAAAAATGTGACTTTATTCAGAGGTTCATCATCACATTGACAGGCGTACAGTGATAAAGCTCAGCCTTCAGCGTGTATATGACCACTCTGGTTCACCCGTCGGCTTTTACAGGGAATCATGCTTGTGTGGTGCTTTGAGCGCTTTCTTCTTTCACGCTGCGCTCACCTGCACACTCATACCAGCACTTTTTAGCTAACATTCAAACAAACAAAATGGAGGTTGTACCCTTTATATACTACGACTGTCAGATGATTGGTTTAAAAGAATCACATGTCAACCTGTGCTTTTAAGATTATGGTTAACAACAGTTTTAAATCTTAAAACAGGTGTTTACAGTAAGTTTTGTCTTTTTGTGAAAGTTTTAAAAGCTTGTTTACAAAAACAAAACGTGACGAATGCTGAAATCCAACAGTGTCTCTGAGAAAGCAGCCTAGTTAAACTGCCTGCATGGCTCAAGGAGACGATTGCTTTCATTTTCATGTTATTCACTGGGTTATTTTTTATAGCTCTCTACATCAAAAGCGATTATTAATGTGCTACTTAGTGTGGAGTCACCAGCGCCCTGTCCTACAGGAGTGGGGCCGGGATCAGGGAAGTCCAAAGCTACTTGGTGAGCCAACAAACAACTGCTGAAACGTTCTTGGGAACACAGACTGTCAGCTTTCTGGTTGGAAGGTATCTGAACTGCTATCTGAGGTTGAGAGATATTGGCTTGATATATCCATGTGCACCTCAAAGCAGAGGTTTCTGGAAACCAGTCTCCCTGAGAGGGAATGAATTCTGCTGGACTTGGGAGTTCCTCTCAGTGAATATGTGCCGTGGTGAGCATCCCTATAGCCACTGGTTTGAATCCTGTATGTTGGGGTTTTCCAGAGTGGATAAGAGAGTTACTTCCCTGCACATTCGGGTTTGGTCCTGAAGATTTTATTATATATTTTTTATTAGTCCTTTATTTATCCAGGTAAAAATCTCATTTTCAATGACCTGGCATCATGGCAGCAAAAGTCAAAAATACATGTACCACACAAGTACATAAGAATGAAAACAAATACAATATCCTGCACAAACGTGAAAGGTTTACAATAACAGGTCATTAAGAGCAACATTAAAACAATCACACTAAAAGAATTATTCTCTTGTTCCTTTGAGATGGACCTAAACTCCCCTCAGGGAACCATTTCTGACTATTTCAGTTCCTTCTGCAGATGTTCCAGGAAGCAGGGGCAGCGTATTTAAAAGCCCTTTTTCCTAATTCTGTTCTGAGTTTTGAGACAATCAATTGTCTGATATTATGAGAACGAAGCCTGTATTGGTTGTTTTCCACATATAAACACACAGATAAGAGGGAACCAGCCCAAGGAGAGATTTATAAAGACCAACCAATGGGAAGGTCTGTGGATATACAGAGACGGACATTTAGCAGCAGCATACAAAGATGTACACGATTCCTATAGCCAGTAATGACACGTGAAGCACAACGGTGGACGGTATCAGATTTCTTTAGATAGGGTGCAGGTGCATTCATAAAAAGCACGTCACCGTAATCCAATACAGGTAAAAAGAAAGAAAAAACTTGCATGAATCTAGTGTTTTCTCACTTGGAGGGAGAAACAGGATCGATTTCTAAAAAAGTCGCTTAGTTTAAACTTGGACACAAGCCTTTGAATGTGAGTTTTAACATGATAAATTCTGATCTATAACGGTCCCTGGATACTCGTAAGAACATTTCAATTTCAGTTCCTTGAATGGTTTTAATCTTAGGAGACGTAGCTAGCAGCTCTTTGCCATTTGAGAATAACATGAACTGGGATTTCTCTGCATTTAACACCAACTTAAGTTGAGTTCAAGGACTGAACGACATCAGAGGCAGACTGCAGAAATTGCAGGGTTTGTGCTACTGAAGGAGATGAACAAGAGATAATTTATCATCTGCATAAAGATGGAATGCAGCATTTGATAAGTTATCTCAAAGGTTGTTTATGTAAAGAGAAAAAAGCAACGGTCCTGGTACAGAGCCCTGAGGAACTCCTTTGGATAGTGGGGGGAAAGAGGAAGAAGACCCAGCATGGACACAGTGTGTTCTTGCTGACAAGTAATTTGATAACCAGCTTACAGCATTTACAGATAGACCAACATTGTTTAGTCTGTTGACTAAAACAGCCCATTACATCAATGATGTCATTAACCACTTTAATGCAGCGGTTATTGTGCTGTGTTGTTGTCTGAATCTCCACTGATGTTGGGAAAGAACGGAATTTTTGTCCAAACAGGTCTTTTAATATTAATAAGCTTTTCTAGAACTTTTGCAAAAACAGAGGATTTAGATATGGACCTGTAGTTATTTCAACAAAGGCAGATTTCTACTGTCTGAGAGGCTAAGATTAAAAATGTAAGTTGGTGGTTCAGCTATGAAATCTGCAGCCAACTTAAGAAGAGGATCAAGTTGATCTGGTCCTGCAGATTGATTTAGCTCCAACAGATTCAAAGCCCTGTGGAGGCTTGGACCACAGATTCAGTCTGATTGGCTGCACCACAGCCGCCTGTTGATTAAGCTGCTTCACATGCAGTTCAATATGTCACAGTTCTCATTTTTCAAAGACTGGCATCTCATCATGTCCCCATAGGAAGATTTCATTATTTTCCATCTTTAGGATCCTTCAGATGTCTAGTAGTTTTTGAAAAGTAAAACTCTGATTTTGTTGTTTTTTGTTGCCGTCCCGTTCAGCACTGTAGCATCAGAATTATTGACTGAAGGCCAAGAAAAATGTCCCACAGATTTATGTTCCCAAGTGGATCATTACAGCTTTGCTATACTGGTCCACTCGATTGAGCTTTATAATTTCATTTATTTATTTTTAACTTTTAAGTTATTACAGTCAGAACAGATGTGACTGGGGTTAGGAAAGGGAAAGACGTAGACAAGAGAAGTTTGAGAAAAGGAGAGGGAAAGAAAAACAGGGGAAGCAGGACAGTGAGAAAAGACGATCTGCAGGATCACCTGCTGGGAAAAAAGAAAACAAGCAAAAGGAGAACGACTGTTTTTCTGCATGACAATGAAAAAGATGCTGCGACAAAGAAACAAATCTGTCAGGAATTAAATTGTAATTTAAACTGCGCAGACTGTCCGATTGCTGTTGTTTTGCTTTTTAAACTTTAGTGGTCCTGTAGGGGCATGTTGGGGGGATTCTACCTCACTAAAAAGCTGAAGCATGCACACTGACTGTGCTCTAACCCTAAAAGCCTTAAAGACCGAGGAGTCCTAGCTGTCAGTACTTCACCTCGTGCCCGCTGAGCATTTCTGATGAAACCTGAAACCCAGCAGAAGTAGGGCCACATAAATAAAGCAAATACTGACCTTTTCACCTGCACTGTTAAACTGCGCTGCTGTTATTTGAGTCGCACCTGAACCAGTTGGCAGCAGTAAAGTCAAAACGGGAAACTCTTTCCTGTCAGGATGTACTTTTATTCTGAAGGAGTCTGAAAGTTGGAAGCATTCCAACACAAGGAGTAATCAAACCTTGCTGGGAGAAAGAAAGGCGGGAAACAAAGAGCTTTGGGTGGATTGTGGGACGGCGAGCAACAGAATTTAAACTGGATTAGTTAGACATCAGTCAAAGAGGGCCGTTACCAGCTACACCTCCATGGATACTTCCTGATGCCACAGTAGATTTCACATTATTGGAAAAGAAGAATTTCATTGACCAGTTTATAATTATGTTCAAATATATACAAACACAGCTGGTCAAACTGGTGTAGCTGTGGTCCCGGAGTTTACGGTTGAAATAGGCAAAAGGATTAATGATGGACTTTCAGTATACACCGGAGAAATGCTCACAATACTGTAAGCTTTCAGTGGGTAGCAGGCATGAGCCCATTACATGCAGTCATTCGTTCAGATTCAAGCTCATCGTTGGTCCGTCTACAGTCACTCAGACGGTGGAGCAGAGATTCAGCAAACACGTTTCAGAGCACACATGATGCAACTTACAGGTGTGTTTATGGATTCCGGCGCACTGTGGACTCAGGAAATAAGTAAGGGCACAAAACATGGGGTGGTTGACATGGCTGTTAGCTTTGGCCAGGCAGAGATAAAGAGTATGGTCAGGCAAGAGGTGAGGAAAAGATGGCAAAGACAGTGGGAGGAAGAAAGGAAGAGACGATGGCTGTGTAGAATTCAAAGGAGGATGGGAGCCACAGGACGGAGTAGGAGAGAGGAGGTGGTCGTATCAAGAATGAGATTTGGACATACTGGTTTGACCACTACACTACTCATGATGGGGAAACATAATACGGGGAGTGTGACTACTGTGGAGAGGAGGAAACATGCTCAGTAACATAAACATCAAATAGGACCTTTGTGATCAAAGGTCATCAGGCCTTATTTCAGTTTTAAAGAGAGGGGAAGCTGTTTGGATTTGAGACCCAGACCACACTCCACACCAGTTGGTGGCGGTAATGCACCATTCAGCTGTTTGCCAGCTGCCAATAAAAATCTAAAATCAAGAACAAGTCGGAAGCGTTATTGTGGTCGTGAGTGGAGGCTGCGGAGCGCGGACTCGTTGCCGTGCCTCGTCTACAGGTAAGCCCGAGCTCGGCAGCAGGACGCTGACCGTGAAGCGGCTCTGCCCGCTGTTGGCGCAGACTCTGTAACAGCCCGCGTGTTTGTTTCACGGGGATGGTGTTGGGCATCGTCCACCTGCCAAAGTACGCTCGTTCACACTTTCCACTGTGACCTGTCGTCGGGTTGTTTGGAAATGTCAGCAGCGTGCCACAGTTCTGCTGACATGTTTACGCGGCGCGTAAACCTTCTTGCGCGTCTACACTAGGCTGTGCGGCAGCGTCTGTAGACTCGCGCACGCACACATTGCGCGTGGGTGGCTGTAGCTCAGGTGGCAGAACTGGTTCGAGCCTAGTCTGCATGCGAGATACTGACCCGTGTTCGTCTCCGATGCATCCACGGGATGTGTGCAGATGTTAGTTAGCTAAGCCACCTGTGCTGGTGTGACTGCACAAGTTACGTGAAGCGCTTTGATTGCTCTACACGGTGTAGAAACGCGCCTGCTGTGGAACTTTCTGCACGTCGTTCCTCTGGTCCGGTAACATCTGGGTTCATGTCTGTCAGCTGCAATATTAAAAAAACCAAAGGGCAGTTATGCTCACATCTGTGCTGAAACATGATTAAAAAAATTCAGATGAGTTTTAATAAAATGTTAACATGACGTCACATCATGACATCACATTGTTTACAGTTTTTAAAGCAGTTTGAGATGAAACTGATGAGAGAAAATGTGCTGAAAGTTTCACGTCAACTGTTAAGGATGATTTTATATGAATATGATGCAATCAGACTCTGCAACGTGTGCACGCGCATACGCGTGTGTGAGTCTGATCATCACTGAAGGAGAGGCGCGTGCCCGAAGCTTACATTTACGCGTCAGATAAGAGGCGGCTGGCTTCACCACATCTCACAAATGACAGCTCACTGATCCACTGAGGATAAAGGCGACACACCAAGGACAGAAAGTTGGAATTCTTTCCTTTATTTCTGCTCTGTTAAGTATCAACTACACAAAAAGCCTCCTGCCAGGCTGCAGGGCTCTTTGTGTGAAGGTGGGCGGTTGGACAGACTGCTGACAGACTGACAGGGTGGAGGGTGACAGAGTGAGAGGCCTGATAAACCAACTGTCGGCTATATCTTTACCAGCTATCGGCTATCAGCTACACTCAGGTCGGGGCTGGAAATAAAAATCTTCCAAACATTTTACCAGCCGCTAGTTTCTGTGTGTAACATTTGGCCAGAACAACCAAACCTTATGAATTGTATCATTTATTCTTAAATGGCCTGTATTTATCTAGCGCCCTAAGGACCCCAAAGCGCTTTACACATCCACACACTGGTGATGGCAGCTACATTGTAGCCACAGCCACCCTGGGGTGCACTGACAGAGGCGAGGCTGCCGGACACTGGCGCCACCGGGCCCTCTGACCACCACCAGTAGGCAACAGGTGACGTGTCTTGCCCAAGGACACAACGACCGAGACTGTCGGAGCCGAGGCTCGAACCGGCAACCTTCCGATTACAAGGCGAACTCCCAACTCTTGAGCAACGATCGCCCAACTAACTAATTAATTAACTCTGTTACATTTCTGTACAGTACATTTTCTCTTACAGTGTATCATACATGTGTACCTGCACACACTGATGTAACACAGTATGAACACCGTAACTTAATTTAAACCTGACACGGTGGCTTGTGCGTTGTTTTAAATTTACACGCCACTTCATAAATTTACCCACATTTGGCCAGTGGTGGGTCCTAATTTCCACCCCAGCTCAGGTCCATCAGTATGTTTCACAGCTTGTCTATCCTACAGTCTGTTTGCCATGAAGCAGAGGTTCAGCTTTAGTCTCTAATATTGAATTAAACATATAGGATTGTTAGCTCACATGAGCAGGTGTTTCACTTCCCCTCAGAATCTCACAACAGAGCAGAGTTAAGAGGTCTGGAGATGGATGGTTAATCCAGTCATTCTAATGTTAAACCTTTAAGTTCGGTTCTTCATTTCACATTCACCATGGTGGCGTAAAAACCCCAAAACAAACGTGTGTCCAAAAACCGGACGAGCATATTCACTCTATTCACTCTTCTTGATTTCATTTGTGTTTGCAGTTGGCCAATGAGAACAGTCGCTGTCCTTGGAGGAGGGATTGGGGGTTTGGCTGCATCCTACTACCTGTGCAAGAGCCCCCAGGTTACCAAGGTAACACATGCTTTGTTTGATTAGGAGAAAAAAGCTGGGAACAAAAACCCTCCATGTATGAAGCAAGTTTCTCGAGCACCCTTATTACATCTGGCAGATGTTAGAAACACCCTGTGACAGTGAGCTGAAAACCTGCTTGTTACTGGTTGAAGTTCATTATTGTCGCGCTGTTTGAAAAGCGCGCTTGAAAGGGAGTCAGCGGATCCCACGTGCTGCAGTGTAAGTACAGGAACAAAGGCAGGTGGTGTTTCCCCCACACTAGCTTCTTTTACTGGCTCCCTGTTTAGTCCAGAGTTGGATTTGAAACCCTACCCCTCATTTTTCTAACCCTCATCAAACCAGGAAGTGAAACCTCGAGATGTGGTTAGGAATTCCATTGGTAAAATGTCCTCCGCTAAGACGGGCAGGAAGTCCTGTGTGCTCAGTTCTGTTCACTTTTATTTAACACTTATCTCAGGACACTTTATATAAGAAGGCTGTTTCACATCAGTGCGCTGACCTCACTGCTAGCTAGAGCGAATGACCCAACTTTGTGTTGCGCTGAGCGCGCTGCCCTGCGGCTGCTCTGCGGCTGCCCTGCGGCTGCTCTGCGTGTACGAGATGCTCCTTCATTTCAAAAAATTGTGTCCCTCGTTGTATCCACTACGAGGGTCTGTGTCGTTTTATATCCAAATGTTTAATAAAACATGTATCACTCATTCATCAGCACTAAAGCTCTGAAACTGTCCCGACTAGTGAAGAGTGTGTCGTTTCCACAATAGTCCCCCGAGGTCCACGGAGCCGTTGAAAGGACTCTGGAGGTCCCTGTATGTGGAAAAGTTGACCAAACTTGGACGTGTGCAGAACGTTCATGTTCTGCAGGCTTTGCTTCTATTGGTCGCGGGAAAGTGCATCGCCACGCACCGTGGTCGATGCACGAGTATATCACGCTCCACATCTGTGCTTGTGATGCTCTTTCCTCGGCGCAGCAGGAAACTTAATGTGCGGCGAAACCTGTAGACACGAGTGGGTTTCAGGGCTGCGTCCAGTGTGAAAGGATGTAGTGATTAAAGGACTTCCTGTGCAGGTGCAGGGCTTTATGTCCTCCAGGAACATCTAAAACATGAGATATGCAAATGAAGATTCAGGAAGGTCACTAAGATGTTTATATGAAATGTTGTGCCTCTTACCTCTGTTTCACTTGTCTTTCATTTCTTGGCCTTTGCTGCGCACATCTTGAGAGGATTTAAACCTAAATATCCAAACAGGTCATCCTTCTAGAGGCAAGCAGTCGTTTTGGAGGTTGGCTGTGGTCCACTCGGAGATCAGATGGAGCAGTGTTTGAACATGGACCCAGAGGGATTCGACCTGCAGGGGCGGTGGGCTCCAACACGCTCAATATGGTGAGTTCATATCATAACAGCAACACTGAGACCAAATCACAGCAACTGTTGATAAGAGCTGAACTGACCACGACAGACTGAAACCTGGACGTGTGTGTGTGTGTGTGTGTGTGTGTGCGTGTGTCTGTGTGTGTGTGTGTGTGTGTGTGTGTGTGTGTGTGTGTGTGTGTGTGTGTGTGTGTGCAGGTGGATGATTTGGGTCTTGGAGAGGAGATCCTGCCGGTCAGCTACAGCCACGTTGCCTCCAGAAACAGATACCTGTATGTTAATGGTCAGCTGCACAAGATGCCGTCAGGAATCAGGTGAGTGTTTACAAACATTTGAATCAACCAAACATTGATTTTGCATGATGTGCTGCTGAATGTCGACCGGCTGTTTAAATATACATATATTTCAAATGAAATCACGAAGCGTAACCTGTAACTTTCCGTCTTCCTCTCCGTCTCCTTGTGCATTTTTCCTTCAGTGGGATTGTGCGGACAGTCCCACCGTTCTCTCAGCCGCTGCTGCTGAGCGTCGCTGCTGAGATCCTGGTGAATAAAACCAAGAACGACGACGAGTCAGTCCATTCGTTCGTTTCGAGGAGGCTAGGAAAGGAGGTGAGCAGAACTTTGTGTCAGTAAACAAGCCCCACACACAGTCGCTTCAATAAACCTGTGGTAACATGGCAAAAACAGAGATGCAACAGGAGCCACAAATCAAACGGCATCATTGAAAGCAAGTTACTGACCTAACACCAGCTAACGGGGGCGACCGTGGCTCAGGGGGTTGGGAATCGCATCTGTAACCGGAAGGTCGCCGGTTCGATCCCTGGGCTCTCTGTCCTGGTCGTTGTGTCCTTGGGCAAGACACTTTACCCGACTTGCCTACTGGTGTTGGCCAGAGGGGCCGATGGTGCGATATGGCAGCCTGGCTTCTGTCAGTCTGTCCCAGGCAGCTGTGGCTACAACTGTAGCTGCCTCCACCAGTGTGTGAATGTGAGAGACAATGAATAGTGGTGTTGTAAAGCACTTTGAGGTTCTCGAAAAGCGCTATATAAATGCAATCCATTATTAAGTGTGCCTATGCGAAGGCACACTTATTACTATTGCTCGGATTTATTATTAAGTGTGCCTATGCGAAGGCACACTTATTACTATTGCTCGGATTTATTAAGTGTGCCTATGCGAAGGCACACTTATTACTATTGCTCGGATTTATTAAGTGTGCCTATGCGAAGGCACACTTATTACTATTGCTCGGATTTATTATTATTATTATTATTCTTTTTCCGCCTGAAATTTTGGACCGTAACTCATCCCACAGTTTTGACACAAGCTTCATATATGTTATATCATTTTGTGCGGCTGGATCAGGAATGAGTTGCTATGCCTTTTGGTGTTTATTACTTCTATAGTTTTTTAAATATGAATATTTTAATGCAAGTTTTTGCCCATTGGAATGAATGGGAACGAACGAAAGTGAAACTTAACTTACTTTGTGGTGTGTTTGCTCACTCACTTAATTTGTGGTGTGTTGGCTCACTCTAGTGGTATGTCCCCGTATTTGGATTACCATAATGACGACAATATCAACGGCGCGCACAGCGTCGGTGCTTTCAGGAACCATTGGAATTCTTAAGGTTGCACGAAGCATTGAATAGTTACGGTAACGGCAAGGGTGTATGCTTGGTGGAAAACTGCATATCCCACAATTCAAAGCACGCCTCTACCAGTCAAACAATGGCGGCTGCCACTTGGTTTAATATATTCCTCTTATTTGTGTTTCTAGGTCACAAAGTAAACTTTTAAGATATTTTCAGGTGAGAATGTGGGTGTGTAAACGTCAAATATCTGCTCGTTTTGTCAAAACATCGCATATTGGCAACAGATTTTTCATGATGTTGCGCCGCTTCACTCAAAAGCACCCAGGCTTGGCTTTCAGTGAGGCGTCTCTAACTCCTTTCATCCCCGATAGCTCCGCAAACAGTCTTTGTCTTAGCTGGACTTATTTTTCGTTTATATGGGCCGATGATGCTGGTCGATGAGGAAAAACTAACTGAGTTGTTTGGTAGTGGCTAACGCGGAGCTAGCTAGCCACCGGTATGTGTCTCTTTCCCCTCATATGTGGGGAAAGAAACATGCGAGGCGGCCGCCGATCGACCGGTTTTCAGGTGAGAATGTAGGTGTGTAAACGTCAAATATCTGCTCGTTTTGTCAAAACATCCCATATTAGCAACAGATTTCTCACGATGTTGCTGCTAGCCGGCTAGCTAGTTCGGCCGGCCGGCTAGCCGGCTAGCTAGCTCGGCTAGCTAGCGCCGCTTCGCTCAAAAGCACCCAGGCTTGGCTTTCAGTGAGGCGTCTCTAACTCCTTTCACCCCCGATCGCTCCGCAAACAGTCTTTGTCTTAGCTGGACTTATTTTTCGTTTATATGGGCCGATGATGCTGGTCGATGTGGAAAAAATAACTGAGTTGTTCACATACCGGTGGCTAGCTAGCTCCGCGTTAGCCACCGGTATATGTCTCTTCCCCTCGTATGCGGGGAAAGAAACACCGATCGACCGGTGGTGGCTAACGCGGAGCTCAATCGTGGATAAGGGAAACCCAATGCAGGAGAAGCAGGCGGCTGGTGAACTGAATTTCAGGTAAGACGTTATTAACTGCACTCTATTTGGGTCAGATATAAACCGAGTTTAGGTGTAGTTTATTTTCGTTGTGCTGACAGTTACAATAACTGTACTGTGTGCTAGCTAGCACGACGGAGTTTCTATACAGCTGTGCGCGCTAAGTTACTGATGTTGAACTTTATGACAGCCTCCCCTATTTTCAGGCGAGAATGTAGGGGTGTAAACTTCAAATATCTGCTCGTTTTATCAAGAAGTCCCATATTTTATCAAGAAGTCCCATATCTCTCACGATGTTACTGCTAGCGCCGCATGGCAGCTAGCTGGCTAGGGCGGCTTGGCTGACACCTAGGCCGGGCTGACTGATACCCAGGCCGGCTCACGCTCACGTTTCACCGCCGCATGGCAGCTAGCCGGCTAGCTGGCTAGCGCGGCTTGGCTGCCACCCAGGTCGGGCTGGCTGACACCCAGGCTGGGCTGGCTGACACCCAGGCCCGCTCACGCTGTCGTGTTATTTTTCATTTATATGGGCTGGTGATTCAGTATGAGTGTCCGGTGAACTGAATGTCAGGTAAGACGTTATGTATATGTAAGGTAGTGACTGGAATAAGTCACAAGGTGTCGCTGTTGAGCTGCATATATGTTGTAAATTTTAGCAATTTTGACCATTTGTCCTCTGCAGGACACCGTAGTTCAGATTTCTCGTTCGCGTGGGCGCCATCTTGGTTCAGTGTTTACTGTGATGTGCAAAGGTAAGCACTGTCAGTGGCGAACTGCATTGGTTTTGTTTAAAAATAAGTGTTCCACTGTGTAAAATAGCGGTTTGTCATTTAAGCCGAGCAAATATTTTGTTTATTGAGAGGTTCATGTATTGTCTGATGAGAGTATGAGACAAAGATATACTTTTCTTTCTTACTCTCATATAAAATATTTAGCTTTTATTAAATAGTTATCTGAATCTTACAACCAAAGTTTGTATAATAATACACAAGATTGGCTGTAGACCATTGTTAATCATTCAGAACCCTGTGTAAAAATAACAAAAAACAAAAAGTGAATGAAAAGTGCATAAATATTTATTTTACGTGTTTGATGTGTGTGGCAGGGCGTGGTCTGCAGTGCCGCTGCAGGGGAGGTGGACCCACCTCAGCGGCATCTGCAATCACGCCTCTCAGGTGTAAAGTCTGTGCTCTCTCTGCTTTTTTTTTTTTTTTTTTTTTTTTTGTGTATGTGTCGGGCTATGAGATGAAAAGCTACAGCCGGCTGTGTGGGTACAGCAACTATGTGTGAAAAGTGGTCCATAACGTAATGCTTCAAAGTGTGTTCATGCAAACATTGTCAGGTCTGCTTATGAACCTCTGCGCACAGCGTCTACAAATTGGGGCTGTACGAAGTCACCTCATCTTTACACAAAACTGTAAGCTGTCATCTGTGAGGCGCGAGCGGTGTTTGGTTTTACCATAGTTCATGGTGGAGAATGGCTGCTCCGGTGAGTTTTGCTCTCTGTAGCCGTTTGAATGGCAAACTATACTGATTAGCGGCGGCATAGGCACACTTAAAATTTCTTCAGAAATTTTCGCTTTCTAGTTATTATTATTATTATTAAATACAGCAACAAGAAACCCAAACAAAAGTGACCTGATGTCAGTCTCAAAATGTTCAGTCTGGAAAAACTTCGCTGATTTAATAACTTCAATAAGACTCCTTTCATCAGCAATATACTTACATGTTATCAAACCCAGACAAATGTTTTTCAGTTGCACTTTTGCTTTTGCAAAGGCCCACAAAAAAACTCCTTACTAAAAGAAACAAAACCGCAGCAGCCGTTCAGTTAAAGTGGAAACTCCCGTGTGCTTGCCTGATCATGCACCCCAGTCGTTATTCAGATTAGAGCTGCTTGAACATTCAACCCAGTGACCCCTGTAGGCAGATCTAAAGGTTCTGAAGCAAAGAGCTGACGCGTGACCAGGAGGCCGGCAAAAACTCAGACTGAACCAAAGTCTGAATGAGCAGGTGTAGATACCTGACAGCTGTTTATCTCATTCTTTATGAGGGAGGTGACACACTCATGATGCAGCGAGGATTATCATTTGGAAACACGAGTGTATTTAGTAAGGAAGACGTGAAGCTAGTCTCTAACAGTAATTACATAAGATTCACTTAACTAAACAGGTAACGTGTGTGTGTGTGTGTGTGTGTGTGTGTGTGTGTGTGTGTGTGTAGTTAGCAGACATAGCTGTGGACAGCTTGTGTCGGGGTGTATTTGCAGGGGACTGCAGGAAGTTGAGTGTGCGCTCTTGTTTTCCTGTCCTCTACAACGCAGAGCAGCACAGAGGTTCCATCGTCCTGGGAATGCTGCTGGGCTCAGGTACACTCCAACACTTCCACTCTGACCATTTCTGACAGTTTCCCAGTACGTGCAACCATTTACCTGCACTGCACTTCCAGTTGATCTTAAAATCACTCCCAGGACTTTCTGACGTGTTTGTCAGGATTAAACGTCTGTGTTTAGCCTCATAAAATCAAATAATTGATTTGAGCTCTGGTTCTACACGTTGGCTCTTTGTGGCTATTTTTCTGCCTGCATTGATGCTAACAGATGGTTGTTGTGTGCTGTCATCATTTGTTTGGATTCAGCGTTTTCAGGCTGTCTCACTTTCCTCTGTGCTACCAGTGAAGTGTGCTGTCTTTATTGCAGGACTAAGGTTGTATGTTTGAAACCTGCAGGTGAGGCTCAGGTGATTACCCGCGGCCCTCTGGCTAAAAGATCTAAGAAGGAGTCGTGGGCACAGTGGTCGTTGAAGAGGGGCATGCAGTCGTTTCCAGAAGCCATTGCAGAGAACCTACAACAGAGTGGGAGAGTGCAACTTCACAAAGAGGCTGTTGTTAAGCAGATTGATCCTTCAGCCTCTGGTTGGCAGGTTAGTGCGGAGGTTAAAGACGTTTAACTAAACCTTAGGTGGTTTGCAGTGGTGTGTTATGTTGGTACCATCATATCAGACATGGTAGTGTCGGGGATGGCAGTTTGTTTGCTTCTTGCAAGGTTTCACATTTCCTGAATGTGTAATGTTCTGATTCCCTCGCCTGCTAGCACGAGGAAGTAACGACCGTAAGAAAGAAGGATGTAAACTTGGACTGTGCTACCATGAGGTTTTGTAAGGGAGCTCAGATCAATCTCTTCTTATCTCTGCATCACCAGCAGGTTGAACATCAGGGTAGTAATGTTGTTATTTGGTCTACACAAGTTAACTGTGTCTACGTGTGTCTGCGTGTGTCTGTCTGCGTGTGTCTGTCTGCGTGTGTCTGTCTGCGTGTGTCTGTCTGCGTGTGTCTGTCTGCGTGTGTCTGTCTGCGTGTGTCTGTCTGCGTGTGTCTGTCTGCGTGTGTCTGTCTGCGTGTGTCTGTCTGCGTGTGTCTGTCTGCGTGTGTCTGCAGGTCCGTTTGGAGGATGGAGTCCTATCAGCCGACCACATCATCTCTGCACTGCCTGCTAAAGGCAAGTATGATTGTAAAGCACTGATGGTGCAACAGCAGCTTCACTCTGAGCTTCCCTGAACAGCTGTAAGGGATTTCCACTGCTTTGTGTAACATCATCCTTTCTCTCACTACCCACAGCTTGTGACTGTACAGTGGGTAAAATCATTTCCTACGTGTATTTCTAAAGGTGCTCTTGAAATTGTTGCTCTGTGGGACCAGCACTCCGACACAGGAAGTCTAGATTGGCCGTCAGCTTAAAAAGTCCTATTTCTGCTCTTCGGTTCTTCCTCAGTAGCCGCTGCAAAACTTAGGTGCAGCCGACGGGTGAGGGAACTCGACCAGTTCAGACTGCCGCTCTCCTCCAGGTGTCTACCCCGCTCGCTTTGACCACAACCGGGGTCCCGAGCAGCCTCGCAGAAACGTCAGCGACAGCGCCGCTGTAGATCGCTGCTCTTGCAGTACGACTAGGTTTAGTTTAGTGGCTCGGGAAGCTGACCCACTAGGGTCTGTTAACTGGAGACTGGAGTGACCTGTAAGAGCTATTTATACAAATGTAGTTCAATACTCATTGTTAGCTTTGTTTTACAAAGGGTTAAAAGGGAATGTCCACAATTTAGACCTTTTGAATGCAAATATCTTATTAAAGCATTTTAAAAAGATCAAAAGCTGAATCAAATGGTAAGAATCACAGAAGCAACCAGTGACATGATTGAAATCATACTTATTTAACGAGCTTGCTGTGAACTAATGCGGACTTTGTTCTGACCTCTGGGAGGTAGAAGAAGAGGACACGCCACATCTATGTGGATGTAGTCTGTCGGCGAGGAGTCGAGCGCTTGGAAGTAGTTTTGTAGACACAAACAGAAGAAATCCAAATCCTCCTGAATTTCTACGCTAACATGGAAAAATCACAAATCCACTCACACGTCCACAGTGCTGGGCGGTGCTTGTTATAAACGTTGGCGTCTCTTTCTGGACACCCAATCACTGTTGTTGCCCAACATCCAGCCGCACCGTTCGCGTGGGTCAGAGCTAAGCTTTAAACTTCAAAGTAACTTCATGACATTTTCTTCTTGTTTCATTCTTAGTGTAGAAATCCTGTCACATATGATACACTTCACTTAGTCTCACTCAGATTTATCATCACATCCATTTTAACATCATCTCCTTTGAATTCAAACGCACAAGAATGCTTCCTCTCAGCTTTGATGGTTGAGCTCGCTGGTTTTACATCATGACACGTTGGTAATGACGCACTGTTTCTCAGGCCATCAGTCGCAGCTGAACCCGCTGAGTTAGCACTAAATGGCAGGATGGTTTCCAACTGCTGGTCGATTTTATGAACATGTAAGCATTCAAGTTCTCCAGTAAGACGACGGCGACCCCATTTCGAAAACCTGCCTGTGTGACACCAAGTGTTCTGGATCATTTGAAGGATGACATTAAAAGTTTCCTTTTTCGAGCCCTTGTTTCTCTGTTCACAGCTCTTTCTTCAGTGCTGCCCCGCTCCTGCCAACCTCTTACCCAGCAGCTGCAGGACATCTCCTCAGTAACAGTAGCTGTGGTCAATCTGGAGTATGACGGCTCCATCTTGCCTGTAATGGTGAGAATACAGGAGAGCACAAAAAACACTTCTTTGAATTTTGAGATTACCAGATACAAGAAGATTTTCACTGTTGTAAAAACAAACTATATTGAAGCATCGCTTTCATTCTGTGAGCCACTGAAGCCTCCAGTGCAAACACTGATTCCTGGAGAAAAGAGCATCAGACAGACTGCACACAAGCTTATTCAAACCTGTGTGCGTCCGTGTGTGTGTGTTGGCAGGGTTTTGGTCACCTCGTCCCGTCATCGGAGGACCGAGGGTTGCTCGGGGTGGTCTATGACTCTGTTCCCTTCCCTCAGCACAACAGACCAGATGGACAGACTACTAGACTGACGGTACAGACGAACAACACCTTGCGTCACTCTCACAGTGTGTTTCTGTGTGTAACAGTTGGTCGATGCAGCCTTGTGGAAGATTTGTTGCCTGCCAGCATCTTCACTGTGGCTCATACTGATTTGTGATCATGGTCGTCTTTTCTTGTTACACTACTTTTTCTTTTCAGACATTTATCTGTTGCTATTACGTCTCACAGCATGACTATTATGTCATTTCTTCTTCGTCTTCTTCTGTTTTACTGGCAGTTGGCAGCACATTTAGAGCAGGTGGTTGTGCTGCCCTCTAGTGGAATAAAATGTAACTGTTACTCACACTGATTGCTTACAGTACTAATCAGGTGGAGCCAGATAGTCTTCCATGGCACAGTGGTTGGGAAACACTGCTCTGATGGATGCATCAGAGATAATCTGGTGTTCAGTATCTTTCCCAGAAACACTTGGACTGGATGCCTGATCACCTGTTTACAAGTATAACTGTGCAGGTTCTCATCCAGCTCATGGTGATCTAAGGAACGTGGAAGATTGACTGGATTCGTTAACTTAGAATGAGAATATGAATTTACATGAACTGTCGCTGTTCATGTACTGCTTTGGAGTATCCTGTGCTAATGGGGGGGGGTACTACAGGAAGCACTGAAGCATACCTTCATAGTATTTGAAGAACTCAGCTTTTATAATGACAACAACACTTCCACTCATTTCACATGTGATTATCTGTCATATCTTTTCATCATGTTTCCTAGGTAATGATGGGCGGGGCTTGGTTCGAGGAGGAGTTTGGGGTTCCAGAAGCAGCAACAGCGGAGCGTCTCTTATCAAGAGCCACTGAGGCGGTGCGCTGCCACCTCGGAGTCACTGCGGCACCCAGCTGGAGTCGAGTGATTCTGCACAGGGTATGACCCCACATATTATATAACACACACACACACACACACACACACACACACACACACACACACACACACACACACACACACACACGACTGTGCCACACGAGGAGTCAGATGATCTCTCAGTCGGATGTCATCATGGCGGGATCTCTTCCTATTTCTGAAGGACAATAACTTTTTTGCATATCGTCATGTAAACATGTTTCAGACGAACAGATACAAACTGCAGTTTTGAAATAACGATTTCATTTATTAATAGAAAAAGGCCATCCAAACATTCCTGCCTTTGACTGGAGGAAGTCATTCCACCTGAAAACTAATGACTGTTTGTGCCACCATTGGCAGCAAGAACTGCAATCAGCTGTTTGCAGCATAACTGGGATGTCCTGCTAATATGTGCTGGATAGTCTTTGAACCTTTGCGTATGGGTTCATAGCATAGAGGTTCTGTCAGCTGTGGTAGATGTAGCTATACCGAATGGTAGCAACATCAGGGAAAATGAACACAAAAACCTCAAGAAGTACCAAGGGCTCAGAGAAGAGCTGGAGAAGATGTGGAGGGTGAAGGTAATAGTGGTCCCAGTGGTAATCGGAGCACTCGGTGCGGTGACCCCCAAGCTAGGCGAGTGGCTCCAGCAGATCCGGGGAACAACATCCCAGATCTGTGTGCATAAGAGCGCAGTCTTAGGAACTGCTGAGATCCTGCACAGGACCCTCCCAGGCCTCTGGTTGAGAGATACCAATACTGCACTTTGAGTTACTTTAACAGAGATAAATTATATTTGATCATCTTTTCAACAGGACTGCATACCTCAGTACTATGAAGGACACTTTCAGAGAGTTGGTGAGTATGAATCCGTTTAAATATTAAACATCAACAAAGTGTGATGACAAATCGTTTAATGCTATTTTGTCTACTTCCCAGAGTCCATGCGTGGCTTCATAAAGAACAATAACCTAGCCCTGTCCTTGACTGGTTCCTGTTACGATGGTGTGTCAGTGAATGATGTCATCTTCAGTGGACGGACAGCTGTGGAGGAGTTGTTGGGAACTGTAGTATGATGAAGCTGGTTGCTATGAATCATGGGATTCATGTGGGCTTGAATCTTCTACCACCTGTAATGCCTTGAATCATCCAGACATATCTGACGTTGTTTGGAAAAAGTGCGCTCACTGATGTCAGCTGCAGCGGTTTGAATCTAAGATGCATCTGAAACTTTATATTTTTGCCTGTGTAACTCAAGATTGTGTTAACACGGCTGAATGTCACCGCGCAGCTGCTTCAGGTTGTGCAGCCTCTGTTCCCATTGTTTTTATTGGATGGTCTGTGGCGACACAGATATGAGAACGTTTCACTTTAAATGGCCAACTTGCCACGATTTGCAGTTTAAGATCTTTGTTTTTGTTTCATTGCATTTATTTTGAATGTAATTGCTGATAAAGATAAGCTGATGTAACCTGCACATACACCAGTCGAGTTGTTACTGCAGCGCCGTCATAAAGCTCTTCCCTCAAAAATCAGCGTGTGCATCCAGCCTTTAAATTCCTGCCATGACAGTAAGTAACAGCTTTTACTTCTCCCTGTAGATGCTGACAGTTAACCATGTCACATGCTGAGGCCTTTTCATTGAGCCAATGTTATTAATAAAAACATTCAGACGTAGGCCTGTGTTTCTGCGGTTATAAAGTGATTTTCTTTATTTCGTCAGCCCTGAATTGTCATGAGGATCTTTCCCTCTTTAGCTCTTGAGTTGTTGTCTGCAGAGCCTTCTCTCATGGCTTCCAGTTCAATTGTATATTGCACCAAATCATTATTGTAAAGTCCCTCCAATAATTTTCCAAGCCAAAGGGAGACGGAACCACTGCCTCGTCCAAAATAAACTGATCACAATGGCAGTCAGTAGAGATACAATGTAAACACATCACGTAAAACAAACATCTTAAAAATATTGGTTTTATTTTAGAAGGAAAACAAAAAGTTATGAGTCCATGGACCGGGTCATGATCTCACAGTCTGGCCTTGAGGCCACACACAAACTGGAAACTATCTGAGGCCCAGTTTCTTCTTCTCTTTGTGTTTCTTGCGAACCACTTCAATGTTGCGGTCCTTCCACATGCTCTTCCTCAGTTTGATGGGACGGCTACCAACGTACTTCCCTGGACAAACAGAGGGAAAGAAGTGTAAGAGTGCCAGGATGGTACCAAATGCCCTGTAACAACAGCTGTAGCGGGAGCCTGTGTGAGACTCACCGTTCATCTCTCTCATGGCTCTCACGTAGTCATTTGGATCCTTGAAGCTCACAAAACCGTAGCCTTTGGTTTTTCCAGTCCGTTTGTCCCTGACCACCTGCTGACACACAGTAATGATTAGAGCAGGGCGATATGACCAAAAATATTTATCACGATATACATTTGAAAATTTGTGATAACGATATAAGTGACGATATAATTGACACAAAATACTTTACAACTCCTCAACTTTATTAGTGCAAAAAAACCCATCAATGTATTTTCACTGAAACAAGCAGCTGTTTATGTGCATTAAAGTTATATAAAAATGTAACAGTGCAAATGCAAGTTCCTGTCTGACAGTTTAACCAAAAGGCTCCAACAATCCATCAAGCGGTGCGGCTTCGTAGCTCAGCAAAGTCGTACTGAAACATCTGACAGACTTTCGAGCGCCGTGCACATAAAATCGTTTCGAGGTCAGTAAACACAACCAGAGTTCATACATAAGGCACACGGGGTTATAAGGGGCACTGTCGATTTTCAGAAAAATCAAAGGATTGATTTTAAGGGCGCCGTATTTTCCAAACAACGCGGTAATAACGACGGCCCGCTAGCATGCGCTACCAAAAATAGTGCTTTGTTGTGTATCTGACGGACGAAAGCTAAACCAGTTCCACACCAGTGAAGCTGCAGCATTTTTACAAACCAGTTCTGGTTCATGGATTCATTCAACGATCCGCTTTCGACCTCATTCGCCACCATGCTTTTTCCGCCATGTGCGTATGAAAACAAAGGCACTGCGCGTTTTACCCATATTCTATCGCCATATTTCATTTTCTTATCGTTGCCCAACATTATACCGGTATTACCGTGAACGGTATGATATGGCCCAGCCCTAGTAATGACTTCATGTTACCCACCAACTGGTGACACGAGACACTTCCACAGAGAAGTTGTATTTTTAACAGTACTTTATACCCAACGCACCCTAATATTTGCTAATTAAATAACATGCCTTTGGGCTGTGGGAGGAAACAGCATACTCCGAGCGAGCAGGTGCAGCCACTCCTTGCACCAACAGCAGGAGTTTGTTGCAGATGACAGTAAAATATTTTGGGGTTCTGCAAACTCCTCGCAGAATCCCAGTCAGAGGTCAAACCAGTGCACCTGCCCTGAAAATCCACTGGTTGCCAGATCAGTGGTTTCCCCTGAGAAAACCTTGAGTTCAGGTTTTTGTTACATTTGAGGCACAAACAACAAACATGAAGGTTTTTACTGCCTCTTGAACAGCGTTCCTTTAATATAAGCTGCCATAAAGGCTCTTTGATGGAGGACGACATGAACCGTTTACAGCTTGAAGCTGAGGAGTCTCCAACTCTGCTTTCATCTGTTACCAGATATTAATAAATCCAGATGGAAGACATTGTTTACCTACAGCGTATGTGTTAAATGTTCAGGGAATTGATATCCTATCCAACTGAATTTGACAGCATATGATTTCATTTGAGTGTCTTGACTAAAATCTAATTTAGCTTCAATCATAATTTAGAAACGTACATTTATGTAGTTTTAGTCGACTAAATATAGTTGATGAAATCTGAAGCTTACTCAGTTGTTTGTGTTTTTACTGGTCAGAGTAGCTCCACAGTTTACAGAGCTTCTCGTTTTCCTTCACCTGAGGCGTCTCCGCTCGTCTCTTCCTTCCAAGCACTTTGCTGCTTATTTCTCATGAAAATACAACTAAATGTCAGAGGTCACCGCCCACACAGGATTACTTCTGACTGAATCATTTCCATATTCGTCATGTTCTACACAAATTGTTCTAATTTGATCTCATCTATCCATAACATTTTAATCTTATTTTAAAAGTGTGTCATTCGTTTTTAACTCAGTTATCGTCTTTTTGTTAGGAGAAGAAGAAAAAAGAAAGACGAACAGACAAATGACCCGACCTTAGCTTTGAGGAAAGATGGGTATCTGCTGAAGGCTCTGGCCAGTATGTCATCATTAACCTCGTTACCAAGATCACCACAGAAAATACGGAAGTCATCTGCAACATGGAGACAATTCTGCTGATGTTACACATGAAAAACTAAAATCACCATGGCTACTGAAACACACCTTTTTTTAAATGCATTTACTTTAGCTGCATTCAACTGATGGAAGAACATCACTCAACTGAAAAAACCAACAATGACACTGAGCTGTCTCTGTTCTGTTATTACTGTTAGTGAAGTTGCACCTGATTCCCATTCCAGCAGACTCTGGTCCTCCCAGGTCGTCCCTGCAGCTGTGCGGATACACTTCTTCACCTTCTCCGATTTTGCCCTTTTTTTGTCTTCAGTAGTAGTTTCCACATGCTGACAGACACACACACACACACACACAGTTTAACTTTGGGTAGAAACTGCTGTTGTCAAGCATCATCTGGACAACCAGGACAGTCAGCAGCATTAAAGATGATATATTCTAATAATCTGATATGCTGCTGATGAACCACAGTCAACAAAAATAAAAAAAATCGTTAAATATTTTACTTTACATTTAATAATGTATGAAAGTTTACCTTTTTGAATACAATTATTAAAAAGAAGACATTTACTTTTCCACACTATCCAGTCTGAGACGAGCACTCAGTCATCACTGTTAATGCAGCGGCAGCTCCAGAGGGCCATAACAACAAACTAATGCTGTGCTATGTGGGTAGCTAGCGTTATCGCTAACAGCAAAGCAAAGCATGGTCCTGTTAAAGAACAGCTTGTATCCAGGTGTTTTGAACATTTGTTTTGCTTTGATAATTAGCAAATATTTGACTTCTACTTCTGTAATATTCAAAATATTTTCATTGAAATGTACTCTGTATGCATTTTGATTTTAAATACTTACCTTATAAACATTGTTTTATATTGTTTACCATTCTATGTTAATTGTTTATCATTTGTAACAGCACCTAAAACACTAAAATGTAAACTTAAACAAAAGAAATTCCCAAATCTGTGACAGATACTGATTTACACATTATTTCATATAAATAAATATCTCATTTGTAAATGTGCAAACTCATAAATGTCCGCACATATTGGTTGGGTCACGATGTTAGATGTTGAAGGAAATTAGCTGTAGAATAATATTTATAATTCTACGCCCACAGCACTAAACGTAGAAGTTTTCCATTCACCAGTATTTTAAAAATGCATATAACCCCTGAAACGGCGGCACGTGCAGTGTTACTGCCAGCACGTCGCCTGCTACATGGCTTCACAGTCTAAATATTTACGGGCTCTCGCTCCTCGTTACAAAGTAAAGAGCAAAGTGTTTTGCAGAAATCCACCTCAGTTTGGGGGGGTTCAGGCTCCGGCATACTAGGTCCAATCACCGTGCCGCTGTCCTCGCTCTCCTTCTTGCTGAGCAGACCTGCAGCCATCACTGCAGCCTGCTGCTCGGCCACCCGCGCTGCCAGTTCTTCCTGCAACACCCAGATCACAAGGCCTCAGAAACTACAAGTTCTGTACATCTGAAAGAATCCAGCGTAAAACAAATGTGTGCGTCATGCACGGATCAAAATACCATTCGGGCCTGTCTCTGAGCGTGAACTTCATTTCTTTTTAGTCCAACATGGGCAGGAGGAGCAACGTACACAGTTGGTGCTGCCTGGATGATTGACGGTGTTGGTTTGACAGGAAGTGGGGCTACTTGTCGCGTAGGTGGGCCTGACACCATCGAAACCATATCACCAACCTGAAAGAGACAAATTTGGACGAGAGGGTTCGAGGTGGCGCTCGTCCATTTTACATGATCTCAGTAAGACATGAAGCAGTCTGCACACAGACTCGTGTTTGTGAACCTGAGGTGGAGCAGCCATGGGCTGAGATGGTCCCTGAGGCATTGGGCCCTGCAGGGAAGGAGGGAGCATCATGGGTGGAGGTGGAGGAGGTCGTGGCAAAGGAGGTGCTACTGGAGGACCACGCATCATCTGTAGCCTCGGACCACCTGACAACACAGAGTCCAACCCACAATCCATGTTCAGCTGGGACAAACTTCATCTACACTGGTTTATGAAACCATTTCAATGCTTCGCAACACTCTGCAAACCCATCTGACTGGTTTGTGTCTTAGAGTGTTTTCAGCAGATTCCTTTAAACTCCGTCTTCAGCTGGAGTTTGAGTGATCAGCCTGTGCTGTATCAACACCCTGTCCTGAAACACGGACCATCAAGTCTGCATGTTGTTTGCTCCAAATAAGGCAGATTTCATACACTATATGCTACATGTAATGTTCAGACACACCCACAAGGCAAAAACACCAAGTCTTCAAAAATTACCTGGTCTTTGCAGAATATGTGGAACAAAAGCCGGTCTCATCATGGGAGGAGGAGGTCGTACTGGAGGAACTGACACAGAGAGAGCAGGAGTGAGCGCAGCGTGGCGGCATCTGAAATACTGCTTAAGCCTCTAAACTTTGGTCAGTCATAAATGAATCTTAGCACCACAACATGCATCAAAAACAATCAGAATACTTTATTGATCCCTCGGGGAAATTATTTTGGTTACAGTGCTCCAGTACTTTTTTTGAGGAAACAGCTGATATCGTTATCCATTCCAGCTACAGCTTTCATCAGCTTTGGTTTCCATCCAAATATTTTGAAACACAAACGCAAGCAGCCGGACCGAACCACGAGCAGCAGATCTAACTGTCAGCGTGCTTCCAGGTGAGGAAGAGTTTTACTGGATGGTGACACTCTTGCCATGTGAGCATTTGTCTTTACCTGGTCCCACAAAGGCTTGTGGTGGAGGTCCAACAAAAGTTGCAGCTCTGGCTTCTAATGTCTGCTGGACCTGAGAAAGACCACGGAGTGTGTGAGCGAGAGAGGGTGCTGTTGTTATTAATCACATCGAGACCAATCCTTTTATAACACACAAACCTGTCTGTAGGTGTTGGTTCCTATAATGGGTCGCACCACTGGAACTGTTGGGACAGCCAGAGCTACAGGTACTGCCTCCATGACAGGTGGACTTCCTGATACTGGTACTGGCCCACCGAGAACCTCCTGCTCAAAGCTAGAGAAGCAGAGTGATGTTTGTATTAGATTTCATTTTTGACATTTTTTCCTCCTCCAAACACTCAATTTCGGTCTCATCTGACCACAACACTTTCGCCCAATCGTCCTCTGAGATTGAGACGCTCAGTGCCAAACTTCAAACAGGCCTGTACGGCGGCTTTCCTGAGCAGAGAGACCCTGCGAGCAGGATGCTATGCTCGCAGCTGCTCGGTGATGGTCCTGTAGCCTACTCCTATTCCTTGAGTGTCCACAATCTTCACCCTGACATCCTTGGAAACGTTTTGGTCTTAGCCATGGTGCAGAGTTTGGAATCTGGACAGATTGATTGCGTCTCTGGACGGCTCTCTTTTATGCAGGTAACGAGCCGAGAAGGCTCCTAATGTCAGCTCGTTACCTGCATAAAATACACCTGGGAGGCAGAAATCTTGCTGATTGACAGGGGATCAAATATTTTATTCATCAAAATACTAATTTATTTGTAACTTTTTTGAAATGCATTGTTTAGATTATTGTTGTCTCTCACTGTTCAAATAAACCGACACTAAAATTATACTCTGATCATTTCTTTGTTAGTGAGCAAACTTACAAAATCAGCTGGGGTTCAAATAATGTTTCCCTGACTGCATCTACACAAAGCTGTGGAAATAAACTGGAATAGAAGTCAGGAAACATCCTGCGTGACAGTGAAGAGCAAAGGGAGTAATCTGTGGCTCACAGATAAACTAGTAAAGAGAAAGGGCAGCAGCTCTAAGTGCAAGTACCGTTTTGTTAGGTACAAGTGTTCACCTGCTTTTTAATACAATTATCTACTCAATACATTTAGTTTTGTCGAGACTATCAAGATGACTGCTGATGTTCAAAGCAAACACCGGAATGAGGAAAACTGGAGATTTCACCGAGTTTGAATGTGGCTGGATGCTGATGTCAGCTGGGATTTTCCTGCACAGCTGCCTGAGCGGTTACCTGCGCTGCACGCATCTGTGTCTCTTCAAACTGGGATCTGTTGCTTGTTAGGCAAATGGGCACCACAGCACTAGTTTAATGTTGTTATTGTGACATTTAAAGTGAAGTGTTTTGACTGAATACTGTCTCAGTGAAGCACCTTGCTAACACAGAAAGGCCAGAGGAACACACTCGTGCATCCTCGCGTCGACATGCAAACAGTCACATGAAAAACCTGCGACGTAATCGGAGAGGTGCTGGTACAGCTCTGCGGTGTGTGCAGTGAGGATGCTTCGTACTCACAGCGCCATCTCAGCCTCCATCTCCTTCAGACGCTCCTCGCCGGACTTGAGCGCCATGCTGTGGGAAAAACAGCCAACATGAGCTCAACGCTACAACAGCTGCATTCAGAAAAGCGCCTCCGTCTGCACACGGCTGGCCGCTGTAAGCCTTACCTTCAGCTGGAGTTTGTACGCTGCCTACGTTCACCGACTGGGCTACAAGCTAACAAGTAATGTTTAGCTCGTTAGGCTCGAGCTAAACCAGCAACGAGCCCGTTTCTGCTGCTGTTCTCAGCCCACTCACTAACCCACCAACCCACTTCCACGCTAACAGTACTAACTAACTAAAGAGGAATGGGATTATGCACTAACAAATACACATTCACGGGCTACTGAGCCACCGTCCTAACGTTCTTCTGCTTTACCTTCTTCTTCGTCTTCTTGATGTTTGTTAGCGATTGACAAACAAAACGGTGCATTAGCGCCACCAACTGGTAGGGCGTGTGAATGACGTCGCTCCAAAAACCGAAACCAACGAGTCTTAAATAACTTTAGGTCAGCTTTCGTTCTTCTAACCCTGCTCTCAGCTTCATAGTGTAGTGCAGCTTGCTCTATGGTTTCCTGTCCGGTACAGCACTCACATTTGTCTGAATCACGTTTGGCTGCTATGAATAATGTTTAAAACTGTGTGATATAAATTGTGATATGACTGTCTCCTCTCTCCTGTTCCTTCCTGTGCTTCTCATTCTCCAGTTTTCCTTTGGCATTTGGAAATCTGGTGTCCTCTCCTTTCTTCGTCTCATGTTTCCTATAAAATAATATCCTATTATATGAACCTGTAGTTTTTAAACAAAGGTCAGACAGAAATCTTGTGTGAGATATAATTACATTTTTTTTAGTTTACTCTCAAAGCTGTTCCAGTTAAATTAAGTCGAAATTAGACTTTTGATTTTTTTAATACAGCACAATAATAAAATAACTAAGTTGCTTAGACTACCCTCCACAAATCCCCAACTTTCTGTGGTGGGAGGGTGTGTGTGTTCCAGTGATCCCAGGGTCTATGTTATCTGATGGGTTCTCATAGGGATGAGTGCCTTGGGTGGGGACTGATCACTGATTCGATGGGTAGTGGGTTGATGGCAAGAGAGGACACTGGACAGACCTGGTGCACCTTAACGTATAGTGAGGGTGTGCTAGGAGCACCTGGCAGAGTTCAGTTGTGCATTTAAGTTCCATTCCTTAATATTTAGAGAATTGGAAGAACTGTTATTTTTGCCACCATTTCATTGTTTTGGGGTCAGGTCTGTCAGTGAGGAACCTTCTTCAATCTATTGGAACGAACCCTAGATCTGGATTTAAATGCAAGCAGGTGAAGAAATTATGGGATATATAAATAAAACTGAACTGAATTGAATCTAATAACTGCTGAACCATCCATTGGAAAAAAACATTAGAAAATTCTAATGTATTGGAGCATCTACTGTCTACTTTATTACACATGTCTGTTCTACTATAAACGACTTATATCAAGTCAAACAAAATAAGGCTCAGAGATGTTTGTCTTTTGTTTTTAAGCTGGGCTTGATAGCTGTAAAAAAAAAGTTGACTGTCACTGGAAACTTCAGTTGCTCACTGGCAGCAGTGGGCAGCGTTTATTGATTTTGCTTATCTTGAACTGCCTGCAGCTCAAACCCATGGAGCTAAAACAGACGCAGTGAAACTTTGGGCCCGAGCCGGGGACAACAGTGCTCCCACATCTTTTGCTCTGGGCTGTTTACCTCCCCCTTCTTTCTTTTTCTCATGCTTCCTTTCAGAGCAGCTTTTTCCTTTTCTCTCTGGTCTTTGAAGTTGTCTTTCTTTCTGTTGTTGATTGCTTACCTTTTATTTTATTTTTGATAATAGTGATTATATGTTTGTGTTTGTCTAAAAACAATAAAAGTTTGATAAAAAAAAAACCCTCTTGTGACATCAGTCCTGCATACGGTTGAATCTCAGGTTAACATTGTGGCAGCAGCAGAGTAAACAGAAGGAACAAAGTCAGGTTTTCCAAAAACTAGTGTGACTGAGTACTGGTGTGATTAAAGCCAAGCTTTGGAAATGCATGCACTTTTTGTCCAGACAGCAGAGGTATATTGTAGTAGCCTCAAGATTCTGTGCAGCTTATATGGATATCAATACAATAAATTCGTTTAAACTGACAGTTATATCATTAGCATTAAACTGGTATTTAAATGAAACATCAGCGCACTTCACACCCTGTTGTAGTGTGAAAAGTACAGAAAGACCTTGATTGGGCTTCTTGTCACTGGTTGACAATGACTGAAAACCCGCTGAAAACTACAAAAATGGCTGTAACCTTGACCTCGCTGAAGTGAAGGTCCGTTAGGAGTCACTGTAAGTTTGAAAGTACACAGACCAGTGTAATGGCGTGAGCCCATCAGAGATCTGGTGGGTATGAAAGGTTCCACGGGTGATCCTCCAGCATGAGTGAGATCCACAAACAGACTGGGCTTTTGATTCAACGTGATCAGTGTGGAAAGTGTTCGTAGGGCTCAATACAAAAAGCAGTTTTCACAGACTTCTACAGGACCGGAAGTCTCTTTGCGGTCTTCTTTTGGTAGAGCGCAGGTTGAAGGCACTTTTGCTTTACCTTCACTTTTCCCACCCTCGTCTGTCTTAATCCGTTTCCACGTGACAAGGCGTCACGAAAGTGGGCGGCCCTGATGGTGCTGCTCAGCCCCCCCGCCGCGACCTTCACCCACATCTCCCGTGTTTGCAGCTCGCTGTCTCGGTGTTCAGCAGCAGGAATCATGCTTCGCGCTGTGCTTTTTCGGAGCCTTCCAACACTAAGACGACTGCCGGTCTGTCACTACTCTGCAGCCGCCATCCCAGCACCCAGCACCCAGCCGGAGGTCCACTACAACAAGGTAGAGTCACTCCAGCGGTTGTTACTGCGCTGACGAGATGTTGGATGTTAGCCAACTGCGTAATCAACAAGTGCGCGCAGCGTGACAGGAGCGCTATTAAAGCGCTATAAAGTGTATAAACTGCGCGGTGCTGTGCTTCCAGCACTCTGCATGCAGAGCTATGATAGGAGGGACGAGCTGCTCACAGAGCTAACAGTGAAGCAGCAACAGGTCACGCTCAGCTTTCACTTGGAGCTTATATAACTCTGAGCGCTGCGCCACGCTGAGCTCGTGGGATTTCACAACAAGATCATGAAGATTTAATCTATGCACGACAGAAACGGCCAGTATGGGATGATTCTTGTTTCTCCGGTATTTGTTGTGAAAACTCACTCAGCTGAGCTGTGCTCCCTCAGATCCTGAGGCAGAAGGTCTCCGTTACTGCAGAGCACTGCGCTCTGCAGTAACGGAGACCTTCTGCTGCGTGGTGTGCAGTGACTGAGCTCACGGGCAGAGGAGGAGATGGCCAAGACTGAGAAAGTCAAAAGAACTCCTCTTTAAATGTTGTCCTTGTGCTCATGGAGACTCTCTGAAGATCCACGGGTCACGCGTGTTTCTTGTATCAGCATGGTCCCTGTTACCTGCAGTTTCATAAAAGCCATCTGTTCTCTGATTGGATTGTTACATTTGTGATTGACATGGCATTGACCAATCAGATGAAAGGAAGAAAAATAGGGTCAAACTTCGTACTTGTAACTTGCAGGGTTTTTTGGCAAAGTCCACGCACAAATCTTTTTACACATACGAAACTGATTTACAAGTACACAATATTTATGACCACATTTTGAGCCCATATAGCCAGGGACGTGGTGTGTGTTAACACGGTCACTAAATACAAACCTCCCCACGCTGGACAGCAGATATGCGATACCCCCCCACACCTACTGTCCAGCTGACCATCCCACAGCTGTGAGAGTGTAAAGAACAAGCAGAGTGTTACTGATATGTGGTCAAAGCAGAGGCTTTTTCCTTTGTTGGAATTGTTGAATTTTGTTTTTCTAATTAGTAATTATTAACTTGATTCTCAAGCTTGTTTAACTTCACACAATTAAGGATTTTTTAAGTTAAGACAGTCAAAAATGGCTCTTTCAGTTCCTCATTTGTAATAACTGCCATTGGTCAAAAACTTTAGAGAGTTACATGCATGTTTCTTATTAAGAAATACATTTGAAATCACTTCTTACCTTTACTTTTCATGCTACATTAGAGTAACGGCATTATTTTTTGATGATATGACGTCATTTTCTGTCACGTTTGTTAGTGTTACTGTACCCTGTGAATTTTGTGCTGAAGGTTAATTTGAAGAAAATCGTGAATTGAATTGAAATCACAATATCTGCCAGAAAAATCGTAATTAGATCATTTCCTGAGATCGTTCAGTCATAAACCCAACTATGGTTATGTTTCCATCGTCACCACTGAGCGCGTCAGAGCTGTGCGTTAAACGAAGCATCAACACAAAGAATTGGCTTCGATGAGTTTCTTGATGAATCGTTGCAGCCTTGGTATAAACATTTACCTGCCAGTGTAGCAGCGGGCTGTAGTATACGTCTGTCTGCATTTAGCTGGTGTTAAAGTTTGGACTTTGTGGCTAAGAGTTCAGTTCGTTATTTAGTGAGCAACAAATTACAACAACAGTTGCCCAGAGACACTTAATATTAGGAAGCTAGTTGGTAAATTGGTAACAATATCACATGCAGTGTCATTGTTTCTATTAGACACCAGTAAATGACAGTTGTGACTTTGTGTAAGCTCTTTAAGAACACAATAAAAAGTCAAGCATGAAAACAAAATTCATTTTTAAAAATCACAGAAGTGGAAGTTCCTCTTTATCCTGCTACATTTAAAGATACAAAAGGAAAATGTCTGACAGAAGTCTGCGAGACCTTTGTCTTTATTTCATTAAAACATTCAATTGGCTGTCTTGAAATCAGTGTTTTACAGTCATTACAGGAAACAGTATTGAGTGTTTTACTTTATCAGAGTCGCTGTACTCGTAATGATGTACTGACCTTTTTAATGTTTCAGCTCTTTATCAACAATGAGTGGCATGATGCAGTGAGTGGGAAAACGTTTCCTACGATAAATCCGGCAACTGGTGAAGTCATCTGTCAGGTTGCAGAAGCTGATGAGGTAAGAGTCTGTAAAGGTAAAAACACAAAGATATCCTGCAGTCGGTTGTTAACCATCTAAAGTAGTGATGGTAAATTTGATTCTTTTTACTGAATCGAGTTTTAATGAGTCACTCACCAAAGTGAATCGATTTTTCAGTCATTTGATTCACTGAGTCAGTCGACCAGAGTGTGCAAAAAATGTACATTTTCACTCAAACTTAATTTGTTTCTCTTTTCATGTAAATCCTACTGCTAAGATGAATGATTCTAAAAGAAAACAACTATTTTATAGAGCAAAAAAGAGCAAAAACATTTCTAAAATTAAGCAATTTCCTATCA